AAACCCTCTGATCCAAAAAAAAAATCTATATGCAACCAAGTGATAAATGTGTGTGAAAATGCCCACAAGTAAAGTTAGTTGGAAAATGGATTTTCTATCTTGCGAAAATTTTTGAGGCATCAAAACAAAAATTCATCTTGAATTGGGACAAAAAGCAAAAAGGTTGAAATTTCCCACTAAATGAAATACTCCCTCAAAATTAATTTGGGATCAACCAAAATGTTTCATTTTGATTTTGACCCTTTTTATTTTAATTTTTTGTATAAAACAAAGTAAACTTTGAAAGAACATGTCTTTCTGACATGAAAAATCAAAACTTTTCACTCCAAAAATGTCAAACCGAGGCGTTTCACCAATTTTGAATTTTTTTCCAATTTTGGTCTACGTGAAATTTCACCAAAATCAATGTGATTTAACAAAAAATAAATAAGAGGTTTCATTGAATCTGCATTTTCCAGCGGAAAAATGTTTCATCAAAAATTTTTCAACCAGCTTGACTACAAAAGCTGTTTTCTGCCTCTCCTTATCACTTGTAATGTGTAGAAATGTCCAGAAGAGGTCTGTGTTCAACCACTTTTAGGTCATCCACATGCCATGACTCAAACCCTGTGGTTTCATTTACAGAATGCTGAGCTGGCTGGAAAATTTGATCAGCAACAATGCAGCAATAATGCTTCTCGGGTCTCTAGCACTTTTCATCTGAGGACCTCAAAGTGCTTTACAAGTGTTAATGAAGGATTGCTAATCAGGCAGCTTTTATTCAATTTATATGAGCAAGAGTTGCAAGATCTGCCTCAACTGAGGTAGATATGCATGTGGGGTAGGTATTTAGAAGGGGAAGCCGGGCGGGCAAGTCAATAAACTCCCCTGGCTCCTCCGACCCCCCTCTTCCTTTCCAGCAAAGGAACGTGTGAAAAGGATACATAGCATCACTAATGGGCCACCTATCCCAATGTGCTGGCTCCTGGCTCAGTGCAGCATAATGCCGCCACACAGAGGAGGCAGATGCCCGTTAAAATGCCACCATCATGGGGTGGAGTTACACTGTGTGTGCAAAACACACCCCGCCCGTCCTGACACCAGCAGAGTTACAGCAGCACTGATCCAGTTTAGAGCTGAAGAAGGGTAAGGTGACCAGACAGCAAATGTGAAAAATTGGGACGGGGTGGGGGATAATAGGAGCCTATATAAGAACAAGACCCAAAAATCAGAACTGTCCCTATAAAATTGGGACATCTGGTCACCCTAAAGAAGGGTAGCTACGCCCTTATATACCCATAATGAAAATCTAGTGTCGTGCAACCAGGTGATCAGGCCCCACATCTCGGGCATGGGCTCCAGGTTGGGCTGGGCCACCCCAAACAGCTTCGGGGAAGCTGCAGTTGAGGTCCTTCCGGTGGCTGTTCTCCCAGCCACCCAGGTCCCCCCTGGCCCAGTTGCCCTTTGCAGGCCAGTTCGAACCATTGTTGCCAGGGGTTGTGAAGGTCAAAACTATACTAGGGTTCAAAAGAGAACTTAGATAAGTTCATGGAGGATAGTCCATCAATGGCTATTAGCCAAGATGGTCAGGGATGCAACCCCATGCTCTGGGTGTCCCTAGCCTCTGACCGCCAGAAGCTGGGAGTGGATGACAGGGGATGGATCACTTGATGATCACCTGTTTTGTTCATACCCTCTGGGGAACCTGGCACTGGCCATTGTTGGAAGACGGGATACTGGGCTAGATGGACCTTTGGTCTGACCCAGTATGTCCATTCTTAAGTTCTTATGTTTTGTGTTCTTGTGATTTAGAGTGTTGCCAACTCTCAGGAATTTATCACAGGTCTTGCAATATTTGAGAAAAACAGCGAGGCACCCTAACAAAATGCCATGAAACTTTTCATAGGCAATACTTGAAGCCCAGGCCGAAAAGCCCTGTTCAAACAAAGTAAGAGAAAGAAAAAGACCGCGCCAAAGACGTAAGTAACTTAATCACTCTTGCCTGCATGTTGCTTGAAAACATATCTGATTTAGCATTTTGTTTATACACCTGTATTTCCAGTAAACATCTCTACTTTAAAACAAAAACTGGAGGCACACATATATATCTGCTGGAAATGGTCCCAGTTACACGCAGAATTTTCCATCAAATCAGCCAAATAAGAGTGTGGTAGAGACAATCACCTGCATTCTAGATTATTGCCACAGATTATTTGCATTACAGCAACTCCCAGAGGCTCCAATCAAGGTCAAGGCCCCAGCAGCCTGAGAGGGCTTTAAATCCCTTCTTCGCGTCAGGCAGATGGGGCCAGGGGGTCTTACACAGGGATCTCCCACCGCCCAGGTTAGAGTCATTCTAACTCTTTTGCTGGCCCAGTGAGTATTTAGTTATTCAATTATTTAGTTCAAGTTGAACAACTCCAAGAGGAGAGATGGAGGGAACCCCACTCAGAATATCCCATAGCCCAGGGATTAGAGCACTAGCAGAGAAGTTGGAGATACCTGTTCAAATCCCTTCTCCTCTTCAGACAGAGTGGGGACATGAACTGGTGGTCTCTAACCAGTAGGCTAAAGGTTATAAGGGAACTTCTTCCCCTTTCCCTGACTCGCATAAATCTAAGTGGCCTCTGAACATGCCTACCAGATAGGGCCCTGCAGGTGACTGAGCGCTGACCTTCCCCCAGGTCCTGGCTTGCTATGGGGCTGAGGTGGGAGAAAGGCTCCTGGGTGTCTAGAGGGAGGCAGTGGTGCACTGAGAGGCAGAAATATAGGCACCAATGGCACTTCTGCTGCAAAAACGGAGGTGCCGAGCAAGCTGAGGTGCCTCCGGAGCAGCAGCCGAGCGGGAGTTCTGTGGAGGGCAAAGGCGTCTAAAAATGGGATTTAGGCACCTAAATCTGGGGGGGTCAGGCACATAAGTACCTTTTCGTGGATCGGGGCATTGTGCTTGGGGCTGAACATATGTGACCCACTGTTGAGTGTGCGCTGTACATCTGCCTCTAGTAGCTCATCCATAGTGGATGTGAGTCTGCTACAGTTACCAGCGAAGGCCCCAATCCTGCAAATTGCTTAACTTTGTGCTTAACTTTACACACTGTGAGTGGTCCCATATGAGCTAATGGGATGACTCACGGTGTATCCAATCCACCTTCCAGAAAAGTCAACAGAGAGACTGTCACTGATCTCAGTGGAGCTTGATCAGGCCTAGAGTAAAAAATTAAACTCATGAAGGTAGGACATGAAGTAACAGGCATAATCTGCAGCAAAGGAGATTTAGGTTAGATATTAGGAAAAAACTTTCTCACTCTAAGGATAGTTAAGCTCTGGAATAGGCTTCCAAGGGGGGTTGTGGAATCCCCATCACCGGAAGTTTTGAAGAACAAGTGGACAAACACCCATCAAGGATGGACTAGGTTTACTTGGTCCTGCCTCAGTGCAGGTGGCTGGACTAGATGACCTCTCAAAGTCAGTTCCAGCTCTACATTTCTATGTTTTTATGTCTTTGCAAGTTTTAGGGCCTGATCCAATGCCCATGGAAGTCAATGGAAGGCTTTCTCCAGTTTTGGTTTAACTGGTCAGGAAACAGAATTTCTGTTCCGTGGGAAAGTCCAACATTTTGGGGAAGAAAACTGTTTTGATTCAGAATGAAAAGGCAAAATTTTGAAACTTCCTGTGGAATAAAAATTCTGAAAAATGTTGCTTTGATACTGTTGAAATATTTCATTTCTATATTGTTGTTTTAATTTAACTTTTATATTATAATCAAATATTAGTGGTGTATTATATTATATTTGTATGTGTTATATTAAATATTTGAATATAATATAAAAGTCAAAACAAAAAGAATCTTAACAAAACTGCAGATGCCATCAGATTGCAAACTCCTCAAGGACAATAAAATCTGGGGGATGGGAGGATGGGTCAGTATTAAGAAAGGCCAAAGCCTCTACTTACATTAAGCAGAAAATCCATTAAAACAACAAAAACAAAAAACTCTACCCCAGCCATTGTAGTAAGTGCGGTAAAATCATATAGTGAGAGACACCCTCTGCCCCCAAGGAGCTTTCCATGTAAATGGACAAGGCAAACAAAGGGTGGGAGACAGGAAACACAGACATTGTGAGGGGACATGGCTTGCTCAGGATTACACAGCAAGTTACCTATAGAAAGTGGGAAAAGAATTAAGGTCCAGCGCCCACTCCACTGTTCTAAACTCTATAAAGCTAGAGAGTAACAGGAAGCAGTGGTGGATTTTTGGGGCGCTGTTGAGATCCGCGGACCCTCCAACCAGGGCCAGCCCTAGACCAAATGGCGACCCCCCACTGCATTTGTTCAACTTTTGAATACCTTATTTTTTTTATTGCATTTGTAGCCCATTTCACAACTTGGATTCAAGATTTGCATGCATGATTTATCCCTGTCATATAAGATGGTATATTTGCAAGCTAGGATCTGTCCATTTATATTTATTCGTGCCATATATAAACAGATAAAAAAATTAGTTTCTTCTGAGCTTATAGAAACTTTTTAATTTTAAAAATAACTGAAATGTACTAACATCAAGAAATTGAACTGTACACCAACACTGGGTGGACCCATGGGCGATGCGTAATGGAGCCAGGGGGTGGTTAAACCTCCCCAGCCCTCCACTAATGCTTCCCACCATGGCCACGGTGAGGCTCGGGGCTCCTCCGGTGTCTGGGGCTTGGGGCAGCTCGGGCGGATAGGTGGGCCAGGAGGTGGGTGGGTGGACTGGTGGGCCAGGGGTGGCTTGGGCTGGCTGAGGCTCAGGGCACCTTGGGCGAGCTGGAGCTCCTCCAGTGAGGGGCTTGCGCGGGGGGGGGGGGGGGGCAGAGTGGGGGCAGGGCCTCAAGCAGAAGGGGCGGGGCCTTGGGTAGAAGGGGTGGGGCAAGGGGCTCACGCACTGCCCAGGGGTGGACCAGTATTAAGTAGCGTTACAGAAGGTGACAGGCTTAGACTGTTAACCCATGTCCTTTATTTCAAAAGGTCACTTTTCTCACCTTTGCCCTCTTGAACTGAAGCACAGGGTCAGAGAGATCCAAAGCCTGGCCAATGGCATTTTCAAGAGATAAACAGCCAGCCACGTCAGTCTCTCGTCGGCCATCGTCACTCAAAGAGACGTTTTAATGAGCCTGAGCGACGAAATGGAAAATGTCATTCTCAGAAAATCTGGAAAGTTCCACGAGATTCTACAAAGGCCCAGAACATTCTAGGCGGTTAGTGAAAAATGAATCCACACACGGAATAGCTGAAACATGTGACTTCAAATGTTCTATTTTCCCTTTTGCCGCTAACCACAAAAATAACCTCCCGAGTCCAGCTCCCACAAGCCCCGCAACCCAGGCGGTCAACCTGGGTCTCCTGCAGTCCTGGGTTTACAATGGTGCCATGGAGCGGGGCCCATGCTCAGAAGGGGCCCCGGCCTGCTCCGCTTGCACTGCGCCCCGAGACCTCTCTGGCTTCCCCCGCCCACCACTTGCTCCTCTTGGCCTGCCCGCCTGCTGCCTCCTCAGCCACACCTCCCTGCTCCTCTCTGCCCCCTGGCCAGACCCCAGTGCATCTCTGGCCCCAGGCAGTCTCTGCTTCCCACCACCTGTGGGGCCCCACCTGTCTCCCTGGAGCTGAGCTGCCTGTGACTGGTGCAGAAGCCTGGCCTGTCTCAGCCGGCGGCGG